ATTATACAGGGTTTTTAATTGTAGTTGGGCAATTTATTTCTTTTGAATTGTGTTTTAATTAGGAAAATACTCGATATATTTTCAAGACGGAATGAAATAATATAGTCCAGAGGATAAGGCGGTCCTCCCAGAATGTCAAGAGTAACTTTGGTTTTAAAATGTGAATAGGATAATTATATATGAAGATATAGCAATTCCAGATTAAATGAAACCTTTTCCAAATTAAATGAAACCTTTTACAAATGGAATGAAACTTTTTCCAAATTAAATGAAACCTTTATTCTTATCCAAGGAAATATAATATTTCCAGTAATTTTAATTCATATTTAATATAATCATAATTTTATTTTTAAAAAATGCTGTTTCGATTGGATTTACCATTGGAGAATAAGGCGGTAAGAATTTAAAGTTGCATCTTTTGGATTCGATCAAATCTTTTATGTCATGTCGCTTGTTTATTTGAGCGTTATCGATTATCAAGAACGAATTTTCCAACTCTGATTGTGATTCTTTGATTTAATTTTCAAATATTGATTTAAAATTACTGGAAATATTATATTTCCTTGGATAAGAATAATGGTTTCATTTAATTTGAAAAAAGTTTCATTCCATTTGTAAAAGGTTTCATTCCATTTGTAAAAAGTTTCATTCCATTTGTAAAAGGTTTCATTTTAATTGGAAAAGGTTTCATTTAATTTGGAAAAGGTTTCATTTAATTTGGAAAAGGTTTAATTTAATTTGGAAAAGGTTTAATTTAATTTGTAAAAGGTTTCATTTAATCTGGAAATGCTATATATTGAAAAATGTATGCAATATATCTTCACTTTCCAGCAAACCGGAATATAAAATTACAGATACTTCGGTTGAAAAATGTAACTACCGTAACCTGATATATGTCGGGATTACGCAAAAATGAACTCATATATCCCATTTTTAATTTCTAAACTCAGAATGAAACTTTTCGGCATTAAAATCGTAGAATCGATATTGTACTTCTGGTTTTCCAATGTTGATATTTTCCATTGATGATATTTCTAGCTATTGACATTTGAAGCTATGAATTTAAAAAGAACTGCGTTAAACAGTGTGGTTAGTAATTTACCAAACCATTGGTTGTGATTTCACTTCCATATGACAACATGCTGAAATACAACACTGCTAAGCATGTAGTCGAAATTAAACTGAAATACAGATGGCGCTACAGGTCTTAAGATAACATAAATAAAGATATAAAATATGGCCAAGATAAAACGTGATAAGATTTTACAATTTATTTTTTAATAATAAAAAACAATATGCAGTAGAGTTTCGATATAACGATTTATATACACACTGTAATGGAATTGTTCCATCTTTATATTACAAAATCGGTTCATATTTAGATATAACTCCCATATATAATTTCGTCCGATTTAATGTAAATATTGCACCAAAGTCCCTGTATATCTTCGATTTGCACAAAATTTGTCATAGCGTACTTTATTGAGTCTAGAATGATGTGTGCTTAGTTTCGTTGGAATCGGTTCAGATTTAGATATAGCTCCCACATATATTTTCGTCCGATTTTATGTTAATTGACAATTCTTTCGATTTGCAAGAAATTTGGCATATCGTACTGAATTGAGTCTAGAATGATGGGTGCTAAGTTTCGTGAAAATCGGTTCAGATTTAGATATAGCTCCCATATATATTTTCAAATGTTTTGAAGAGGTACACCTGCCATAAGGATGAAATTAAGGATATTGGAAATGAGAAAACATTCAAATATGTTTAGGACTCTTCTTTTATTATTGAGATTTCGTTTTACTTTACAACTTAGACATATGTTAAAAGCAATGTTAATTAATTATAAGCTGTTAATAAGTACAGTTAATAAATAAAAAAAATAAAATAAAAATACATAACACAAAATCAAACTAAAATTAGGACGACATTTATTGTCATCAGCAGTGAAGAGATGTGAACACAATAAAAGTTAATTATGTTTCGGTTTGTTTAAAATTTATTTACAATTTATTGTAGAATTCTTAAAAAAAACGGACATTGTTTTATTTTATTAAATAATTTAAGCTTACAGGTAAATGTTAAAAATAAAATCAATAAAACAGTATAACAACATACGAAAGCCTATTAATAAGTTCGTCTTGTCAACGAATCGCTACAACTTATTTGAAGAGGGGGTTTCTTTTGTACAACCGACTTGAGAAGACCGACTTATTAGATATGCCTTGCATCATACATACATACGAACAAAATATTTTAGGCTTGCACTTGCAACAAACATTATTCGCATAATCAATTGTGGATTCTAAGTCGTTGGTTAACTCCATCTTTTGTATAAAATTAGTTTTATTAGTTATTGTTTAATAATTAAAAAAATACATAATTAGTTTAGCACTTTCTTGACAAAATTATATTTCCAATAGTGTAGTTGTGCGTGCGTGTGTGTGTTATGTAACTTATTCTATAAACACATCCAGATGAACACACTGTCAATTTATAAAACACACAGGACTGCAGTGATGGTCATTACACTCGACCGATGCACCTTTCACAGATGTGATTAACAAATAAAAAGTTCTGAACACCACAAATGGGTTTATCTTGGCTTAACTAATCGATGCTAAACGTTCGTTTTTTATTATGGCAAATATTATTTTAATTCAAGTATAAAAATCATTATTTTTATTTTTTTATTCGTTTTGTTGTTGTTGTTTTTGGTGACTAGGAGCCGTTAGTTGAATATGAAAATAATGCCAGCATTTCAGCATTTTTGGTTAATAGTGTGAGAAAAAACAGGAGATATGTTCAAGAGATTGGCGCAATCCGTGTGATCCGCGCTAGAGCAACTTCGGTATAAGTTCAACATGAGCTTTTTTGAAAAGTTCATGTCGATTCGCGTTTGTTTTAATTTCGTTTCGTAAAGGAGTTTGGATAACAAAGTTGCTTCAACTGTTATTTAATAAAAGCAACACTTAATTGGGCACACATAACTCTAGGAGTTCTTTGCTAATTTTGACTGACTCTTTACAGATGCTCATCGCCGTGGTAACCATTTCTAAGAGGCTGTCGCTCCATTGTGTGATCAGCGGGACGATTGCGTTTGAAGAAACCGACCTATAATAAAAGAGAGCAACAATTTAGTCAAATCACTTGATATAAATTTTGAGTACATGGAATGTGACCAAGTGTATTCAATAATCGATTCGAATATCTTACCTTGTACAGCAGATATATGAGCAACAAAAGAATTAGAGCACCAGCACAGGCGGCCAAAACAACAACCCACAGTGGTACCACATCGGGTACGGGTGTGGGTTCTGGTATGGCTTTGTAAAAGATCTCATGCGTCCTAATAATGTCATCGGTGGGTGTTCCAATGTTGGGCAATTTGGTAACATGTGACACCGCCATTGTCGATATATTCAATGGCACACTGCCGGCTATTTTCTCCATGGTCTTGGCCACCATGCGCGTACGTATAGCCACCCAAACACCCTCATCTTTGCGCAGATTGCGGGCCACACAGCGCAGTGTCTCACATTTTGTTGCTTTGCACGGCGAATTGATGCCGATTTCTTGGGGCTCTTCACGGCGTGTTCTACTGTGTACAGCTGAGGGGTTGTGCGCCATTGGCATGTCGGAATCGCTGATGTCTTCGTAGTAATCGGTGCCATAATATGGTTTGCTGTCGTAGTTTATATTACTCGAAGAATAGTGTGGCGATTGCTGATAGCTGGCATGGGTCTGTTGTGGTGTTCCGGAGGAATAGTGATACGAATAACTGTTAGACTGGCCGGGACCGCCGTGGCTGCGAATTTCTTCATCGACATTACTGCGGCCTAAAGCACCAAGGTCCATTGTGTTGGTACGGAAACCATGGCCACCTGCTGCCACCTTACCAAAATCTCCAGCAGCATTATTGCCGAATTCATTGTAGGCAGCACCACTGCCTACGCCGTACTGATGCTGCTGCTGGTGATGTCTTTGTTGTTGCTGTTGTCCAGGATAAGAACCACTGGACGAGTATGTGTAGGAAGTTCTTTGCGGTTGGCCCGATGTTTGTTGGGAACTTTGTTGGTAGCGGGTTTCGCTTTGGGCAGGGCTGGCCATTTGAACATATTGGCGAACATTGTGTGGTCCTGAATCCTGACTTTGATGATTGACATTCACCTTGGCATCGCCAGCTCCGCCTCGTTGTTGTTGATAATTAGCAGAGTGTTGCTGCATGCCAACACCCGCAACATAGGGCTGTCTGTGGCCATCATAGTTTGTCATTGTTCCATTCCTTGTTGTCACCGTAACTGTACGACCATCACCACTCGTTGTAGTGGTCGTATTCCAGTCCCAATTCCATCTTCCACCCGGTACAGATGCTCCAACATTGGCGTTAGCTGCTTCGTTAGCACGTTGAACATGGATTCGGGAGCCATCACCCAACTCAGCTTGGGCATCCTCCGTCTCCAAACGTTTAGTTTCTTCAGCACTCAATTGTTTACCCTGACCAATGGTGACAGCGTTGGCACCTCCAGTATTTCCGTACGATTTCTCAATATGGGTCCATGACGATTTCACCACAGCACCACGTTCAGTCAAGTAGGATTTACGCACCAAGTTTTGGTCCAATTGCAGATTCAAGGGATTCACGGCCACATGGGGATCACATAGAATACTTCCAGAGGTTTCGGGCTGATTTGTCATGTACATGAGCATATCACCGGAGAGGGTCTGGTAGGGGTAGTGTATGAGAACAACCGCTTCGACAATATCGGAGGGGCCATTATTGAAAATATTGTACAAGTGTACAACTTGTGGACCCAAATCTTCTTCTTTGGTTGCATTTTCAACAGATTGATAATCGGAGGCTTTGTACAGTTCAAAGTCGGGCACCGATGTACCATCAATGGCCAAATCAGTTTCAACCCAGATACTGATATTCTTGGAAATAATGTTGTCCAATGTCGAACCGTCATTTTCAGGATTTGTCGAATTGGCTTCCATGTAGAATTCATAGCTGGGGGACATACCTCTCTTCATCGAGGGCATCATGTAAACCCTGAAGTTGGCCACCTTTTGGGCGGGCAGGGGGTTGCCTATGTCACATTTCAAGGTGTAGTTGTTATCATCGGAAGGTGCGGTGCAGGTGATGGTAGCATCATTGGTATCGGCAATCTTTTCCAATTTCATGTAATCCAATTCCTTGGGCATGACCAGGTAGAAAGCAGCCTCGAATGCGTCTTCGTTGTTGTTGGATATGAAGACATCAATGGTCAGTGGATCAGGAGAGCCGGACAAATATTTATCGACGGTCCTGTGGAAGAGAGTGAAAATAAAGAACACCATATTAGCACCTTAAAAATTGTCGGATCATGGCAGGGTTACTTACTTAATTTCCAATTTAAGATCCGGTACACAAATATTATCTGGACCACAATTCTTCTGAATGTGGACGGCATCTCGTTGTACAATTTCACGATTTTGATCAATGACTGGTTCTAGGGCTTGACGGCGACGTCTCACCAATGATGCTGGCGCCATATTACTCGTCAAATTGTAACGCGATTCTACCTCCAATGGTGTCAATTTGTCCTGGACATTGTCAATGAACACCTCTTCGGTGTGACAGAATTGCTTGCCAAATTCCAATGTGATGAGCCTCGAACGCATATTGTTCAAATTGGACATGAAGAACATACGAGGATTCTTTGGTTTCTTGGCATCCAAAAGCCAGGACACTGTAAAGTTCAGTCTGGGAGGCAAATAGTCCCCAGTGTAACTCCAACACGTGGTGAGACTGGTGCAAGGTACTTGCCGACCATCACGTTTCGATACACAGTTCTTCTCTTCCAGGTTAATCAGTTTGGAAGGACTGGAGAAATATGTGGTGGATTCTACAGCTGCTACAGGTCGAGATTTGAAAATGAACACTTGGGCACTGTTATAAGCACCGACAGCCAAATCGGGATAGGTATTGTCATCCATGTCGAGGCCACCGGACAGGGAGAAACCAAATGTGGTAGGGGGCTGAACGCCAACAATGTCTTCGGCTCTGATCACTTGAGAAGGTTTCTGCAGGGGTCCATTGGCCGAGCCATGGAAAATGTAGATGGCGCCACGTCCAAAGGGACCATCATAAGGAGCACCCACAGCAAAATCACCATAGCCATCACGATTGATGTCACCCAAAGTGGTGAGAGCCAAGCCGAAACGGCCCTTGCTGTTGTAGCCATCACGGATGTGCTCCACGGACCAACGATCAACCTAAAAGAAAAATACCCAAATTCGTAATCGGAATCATGAGATTATATTTTTGAAGAACTTACACCACGTTTCTGCAGCAGTACATAGACACGACCGACATCGTATTTTCCCTCAGTATTGCCCTGTTCACTGTACATGGGGGCACCAATGATCAAGTCATCCAAACCATCACCATCGACATCGGAGGTGGCCAAGGCATAGCCAAAGTATTCGCCAATTTGACGACCGGTAATATTGAAAATATTCACCATGTTCCATTGGTTAACAACAATTTTACCCAATAGACCAGCACCACGAGGCATGCCAATGGCCACATCCTCAATGCCATCGCCGTTGAAGTGACCCGATACCATGGAATAGCCCAAATAGGAGTCGTCATCGGTGGAACTACTTTCAGCAGTGGAGTAAACTTGATTTTCGGGACGCGTAACATCATTTGAATAGGTTTGACCTAAATCCAAAATAAAAACGGGAAATGATGGAAACTCAACATTAGCGGATGATCATACGGCTGTGTGAGGTGAATTAAATTAGGGGTTAGTAGGTGAATTAATATTTTTACAATTTGTACAAAGATATAATCACACATATATATGCATGTAGGACCAACACCCTATTTTCATGCCATCAACATGCAGACATGCCCGATAAACAGAACTCACAAGCGCAACATTGCATTCGAATGAATGGATCCGAACTAAGACGTACATAGATGATGCGATAAAATAATATGAATGATATCAGATCCAGGAAATACATAGATGAAATAAAGGACAATATGAAAACATAAAAGCCCATATGAAATAATGATGATATATGAGAGCATAGTTTTATAACAAAATATTTGATACAGCCTAGAGATGGTATGTAATTTTAGTGATTTTGAAACACATTTTAAAATAAATAATTGAGATTCATTTGGGGAGTTTTAAAACACTGTAAACCACTGTATGACGAAATGCCCAGAGTATTATTGTCATTGGATTTTATAATGGATCGACAACCAAAATTGGCCAAGTCTATCTCTGCATAATTCAAACACTGAATTTTGAAAAATAATTGAGCAAATGATAGGTTGTAAAACACCCCAAATTATTCGAATCAAAATTTATAGAAATATGCCCTTAATATATTTATATAAAAACAATTTTTAAAAATTATATTTAGTTAGCTTATTATATATAATAAATATATTCAATTTGTACAAAGCATTTAATGAAAATGATTTATGTATGTATCGTATGTTTAACTGATATTGATGGTTCTATAAAATACGTATTTGAGTGAATACATTTTGAGTGTGCAGTAGGCCAGGTTATTTTTATTTTTGACAGGCAGCCATAGTGCAATCTTATTTTATATTTTTTTGTTTTGTTTTTTATGTATACATGTATGAACAGGATGTACACCAAATAAAGAAACAAATTTTATACTCTAGAGAAGCATTAACGGCGACTACAATTAACGATTAACTTAAAAATAAAATGGAGATTCTTAGTAAACTAAAAAAAGCATGGTTCCTTTAGCAGTTCTCGTTTTGATCCAGATTCGTTTAATGAATTTACAAAAATGGTAAAGCGTTCACTTTTTCCAATCTGTGTATGTGGTTGGGTTTAATGTGGAAATTTTGTTGTTTATCGGAATGCGTTTTTGTATGCAATAAAAATGATATTTTAAGGCGTTAATGTTGGTTTTGATGTTGTTGAATTTACCTCCAGTGCCAAAAGGCTGATAAAAAGGCGGCTTATATGGGAAGGTGGCATTTGGTGACACGGAATATGTTTGTCCTTTAGTTTAACATATTTGTGATTTATTGTGGGATTTTTTATTTGTTTTTAATATTCGAATAAATTGTTCATAACCATTAAAATTACAGGGTGTTCAATTGTTTTTATTTTTAAGGTGAACGAACATTTTAACATCAAACAAGGAGCGTCACAACATTTTAGATTTAAAAAAATATATATGGACATTTAGAAGAAAATTATTTTCAATGTTGTAGTGGGAGAGTAGGTGCACGAACAAAATAATAAAAAAAAAACAAGAAGAAAAAATAGAAATTAACAAATTGAAATTAACAATTTCGGCGGCCACAATACAAGCAGTAAGAAATATATATTTATATGCATTACATTTAAATACAGTTATAGAATATTTAGCGCTTATAATAAATCTTTAATTAACAATTTAATTATTAAAATGGCAATAAAACATAAAAATACTAATTATTATGGAAATATATTTTTAGAACTAAAAATAGAGCGGGTATGAAAATAATTGATCTGATGAGTTTTTGATAATTTAATATTTTAAAAAATTATTTTTTAAATTAATAATTAATATATAGCTCATTTGGTGCAAAACGGACATAAATCAAAAAAGCGATTTTTGCAGAAAATGCGTTTTATGTTTTCAATTTAATCACACTTAACAAGAAACAGAGGAACTTCTACAGGTTCTCAATTAGAGTATAAAAGAGATATTCTTCTGAGTTTTTGCACAACATGAAGTGGTCAATTCTGCATCAATAACTCAAAAATCACGATTTTTGATTTATGCCGCCATTGCAGCAAATAAGCCATGAGTGATTATTTAATATATTTATGCTTATATGCAATAAATAAAATATTGAGATCTTCATTATAATTTTTTATTGAACTCTCTATTATTCGGTTTTGTAATTCGTTTGATAATCAAATATGGCGTAAAATTATCATCATATTTCGCATAATGCAATATTGAAATATCTTACATTTACCCTACTGAAAAAATATTTTTTTTAAATAAATGAAATGCACACTTGCACAATAAGAGATAATGTGCGTTCTTGAGATTTTCATTTGAAATTTTGTAGGGAAATTATTGAATTAGGAATAGCTGAGGAATAGGAGATTCGAATTAAATAAAAAAATAATTAAATTTTTTTTACACCGAGAATGGGGGGATCCCCTTAAGTGATAGGTGTGTATTTTACGAGTTTTTAATCCTATCGTTTTATAACCCCGTACATGTAAATGTTCTTTAAAAATTGAAATAGAAATTCAAATACAATTGATTTATAGCCTAATTAAATAACCCTATGACAAATATTTTGCGTTAATCATTTTTATCACAGGTTATTATCTAAGGTATGTCTAGGTGTATTAGACATGATAACAATTACTAATTTTTTTTTTAAATAACAACAATGGAGTTTAGATAATTCGGAGGTATGTCGGATATTTTTTTGTTTAATATTCATAATACGTTAATTATTAATAGTCATTCTTATGAAACGTGTCATAACTATATTTCGTATGACTTATTCTGTAGTTTATTCATAATTCGTCCATATTTAGATGTGTAATTATATTTTTATCAATAAATATTCTATGCTTTCCAAATTTACATAACTAACTGGTAATAGCATATGTTTTCAGTATAATAAAATATACTAGAAATTGGATACATGTTTATTTAATTTTAGTTTTATAGCTTATAAATACTTTACTGAAATTATATATACTTTTATATATATTTTTGGAAAGCATCATGAATTTCGATACCTATCGTAGTATTGAAATGTAGGTTTTAATTATTAAAATATAAATAATATAATTGTCTTATACAAGTATATAATTGTCTTATACTTATAACAATAATAACTATTTGGAATTCATGCAGATTTCCACTACACATTTCAATACTAGAAATAAGGTCAGTATATTGATATAGGATTTTCGTATAATTTAAAAACATATATATATTTACGCACAGGAATACAACATTCATATACAAATCTACGATTGCATTTTATTTTTTTTTTTTTTTTTGTTCCAGTTACATAGATATACACATAAAACATGCAAATTCTTGGAGATCAACTAATCTTTAGATTGGATTTTATAAGGGAAAATAGATTAGAAAAAGAAAGAAGAGAATAACTTAGAAGAATGGGAAGCGAAAAATAAGACCAGTATGTTGTTTGATATTTTTGTTGTTTTCATATTGAAAATTTACTCAAATTTTAACACAATTTCAACATATTTTTTAAATGACATTTATTTTAATTCAAAATTTTCAGATTTAATATTTTATAAAAACAATAATTTTAAATACATGTGTGATCAAGAAAGCATAATATTCCTTTCAAATTTTTGTGTGAAAAGTTTAGTCTGACCAAAAAAAAATTGCATTTTAATAAATATGTTGGAAATGGAAAAAATAATTTGATTTAATATTTCATATTCAAGTAATATTTCTTGTTATTTTTTTTTTTAATTTGTCTTCATTATCAATTGGCGCAGAACAACGTACTTGGTAATTATTTGCCTTCCCAATAAGTAAAGGAATAGCTGAGGAATCAAATAGTTACGGGTACATATATAACGACAAAAATACAACAACTTCTATACAAAACTACCAATATATAATATTTAAATATCTTTAATTTAAGGGTAACGTTATTAAAGAAATTAATGGGATAGAAAGAGGTTTCTTTATAAATTTTGTTATTATCAAAATATTATAAATAAAAACCCCACATATATGTATATTTTTTAAATATATTTATAAAAAAAATACGATAAATAAACATTTGAAATATTAGCTATAAAGGAAATGCAAATAGTTTACCTTGCCAATACCAACTGCCTGGAGCTCCAATGTACAAACGATCGCCGTTCTGTAAAATTTCAAATAAAAAGGTTCTATTTAATATATACATTTGTATATGTGTTTAAATAAAATTTGAGATTTTTTTCTTTATTGAATTTCATGATTTGCCACTTTTTTTGGCCAACCACCACATTTGAATACAATGACAGAATTTCATGTCAATCGATGAGGTGTTAATGGCTATGGTATTCCAGTGGTCTCGTGCAAATAGTTTTTTTGGTATTCTCAACACGTTAAAAATATCAGTTATTGTTTGTATCTTTTTCAGTTTTGTCGAAGAAACGTGTCAATGATCTTTGTATTATTGTTCTTTTTTTTTGGTTATTGATTTGTATGCGTGAGTGTATTTGTTTTGTTTGTTTATTTTTGATTTTGTAAAATTTTCTTAGAAATAATTTTTTTTTTGAAGAATGGTTAACATAAGTGTAGAAGTGTATGGGAATACTTACGGCTGTGGCTGCAGCACTAAAACCAGCTTGACAATAGCCTTGGCGGTGATAACCCCAGTTATCTGAAAAATAAAACATTAGAATTATATAAGTAAATTATCGATATATAGGTTGATATTTGCCAAGATTTGGGACCTTGTTCTATAGATTGCAACAATTGTTTCCATTCTCACAATGATCTTCGAACTAACAGTAAAAATTCTGATCTGATGCTATTTTGCGAAATTTGTTTATTGCATGTCTTCACCACACTCAGAAAACTTCAAAACAGATATTAATATTATCTCTACGATTTCGAAAATTTACATTTGTATGCGTGCCACAAGTAAACGATGTTAACTTTGAAGAAAACATAACTATTTCCACGGAATGCCAATCCATAGAAGAAATACACATTGCCATTGTTCCCTGTCCCTCTCTCTCGCTGCCAGTACTCCTTTAAATGCCGAAGATCTTGCCGTGTGATTTGAATCTCTGTTTATGGTCACTTCCTGAACGAAAACAAAAACAATTCTGCATTCTTGATTGAAAAGTAATTTGTTAATCATTCCTTTTGCGTTGTTGTTTCTTTTGCACCATAACCATAAAAGGATAATTGTCCTCTGCGGAATTAAAACATTTAAAGGAATACCGAACAGAAAAACTATGCAATGGACATGCAGCCAACAAAGTAAAAACGAAACGAAACATTTTGGGTGGGAACGAATTTGAAATGCCCTTCCAAAGGGCGACTTGTTTTAGGGGAGTGGTATTTTTTATTTTGTTTTTTAAAAATAGATATAGATCCATAGCTATAGGAGTTCATCGAATTCCACCTCAGATAAACCATAAAACCCAATATGGACTTGTACCTTTTCTACGATTTTTATGGAGAATACACCAAGGTGTTACATATGCCACGACAGAACCAAATACACATTCTATGTCTCCTCAGATGGCCTCGCTGCACAGGCACACATCCAGAGTCCAGCACAGCACATGTTCCCGTCTTTGCTGCATTGCACAAAAAAGGAATAAAATAAAATACAATTGCCATCCAAGGCAGTGACGAAGATGTCGAACTTCAAAGCCCTTCTCAGCAACGCCAAGTAAAGTGTGCAAAAACACATGCGAGCTCTATGTACCTCCGCCGCAACACTGCAGAGCGATCGTGCGCCAGATCAAATTAAACGATAACAATTTGTCTCCGAAGTGTTTCAATTTAAACATTCAGCATGGATGGAATGGTTTGGCTGGAGGCAGGCGATCGAGATTGCGATTATTATGGCAAAGGAAAGCCCGCCGCAAATGTGTCACACCGACAGCACAAAAGCTGAAGGTTGACTTGCCAGCTACTGCTTGCCTCGAGCAAAAAAGCCAGCTCTTTAGGAATTACTGGCCAGCAAAGGAAAAAAACAGCCAAACGACGGGAATGTCGAAACTTTGTTCGTCGTCATCGGCCCCTAGCCAGTGTACTTGCTTGGATTTGAAGTTCGCGCTTGGTTGGATGGAAGAAAGCTAAAAACAAAACACTGGGCCGTGTTTGTGGCCTGGCTCCTGCTGGCGAATGGGGGAATCTGTTGTATGGACTCGAATGGCTGACTGACGCTGTCTCTTGTCTGTTTGCTAAACATTTCAGAAGTTGGTAATTCTCATAATAAAATCGCCCCCGTATAGAATTTCAATTAGTTGTAACATTGCGTTTCGAGGTTTTTTCTTTTGTTTTGTTTTTATTATTTATTCTCCTAACCTGAAAACATACCTGATGGATGGATGGATGGACGTACGGTGGGATTGTTTGGAATAGACTAAAAAACCAAAGCAATGGTCAGGCGAATGTTCGAAAGGGACATTCGACACACATCCATGTATGCTATACATGTGTGCGAGTGTTTTTTTTTGTTGCTTTTGTACAAACAATTGTTTGCTGATTTCTTGTTTAGCTTGGAGAACTGGGAAGAAAAAAGTTTCATGTCACATGAGCACTTGTAATTTCTGAAATATTTAATGCGTTAACTTGGTATTTATTGCTTTGAGTAATGTCGGAATGCTTGGAGGGCTTCTTCAGCGTCGTTGACTTTAATTTACAGAAAAAGCGATTAATCGTTCGAGGTTCCGAAGAAATGACCGACAGACAGACATGAGTGTATAAATGCTTAGATGGACATCATAGCATAAATCGAATTGTTTTTTAACTTTTGTATTTATGTTTGTCGTATTGTTGTTTGTTACTGTTGCACAATGGGATTTATTAGGATGGCATACATATAAATGATTTCGATATATTTTGTATAATAACCCTTAACGCAGATGACGCCAGAGATTTTTACCTCACATCTAAACATTTTATTATTACTATAGAATTTTTGAATATAATATGATCTTACTATTGATCTACGTTCCATTATTAACATTTACTTTAATGCAATTTTAAGGTCGGATCGGGAGATTTTATTAAAATCGAAAGTATTACAATAACATACTTATTTATTTTGTCAGGTAAAATACAAATCTACACGATTCCATGCCAGTCAAACTTTATTTCCATCTCTACCTTAACTCAATTTCAATTTTCTTCAAATTTTATTATTTACAAGTGTCCAACAGATGGCATTTTGTTTGTGTGTGCGTGTGTACCCCCGTAATAGCAAACAGTAGTTTTCCACATCTTTCCCCCCTTTCATAAACAAAATTGAAAACTGACTGAAAAATGATCTGCTATTTTTAGGAAACTATTTTTAATGTTTTTGTTTTGATGCTACTTTTTTACCGTTGCCGCTGTTAGCCTGACTCTCAAGAAGGAAATTGAATTTCTGTTTCCACACCACATAAACATTGATGGCAGAAGACAAGAGACATAGTCATTAACATAGACTTCCTATGGATTGGCTGACGATTGTCTGTCTGTCAGTCGGTTGGTAGGATGGGATAGGATGAGTACATTGAAAATCACTTCCAATTTTATGATTTGAGAAATTTAATTTTAGTGTTTTTTAAGGATTCACAGCGGCAGAACATATTTGTTTCACATGAAACTCAATACATTTTAGGTGGCGATACGATACACAACGAAACCTCAATTTTAATAAGATCGAACAACAGAAGACACACAAACTGACAGAACACACATGCGTACATTTCAGCATTGACAGGGTGACCATCTGTATGTCGAAAAAATACTACCTCAATTTATGCATCGAATAAAAACGGGGATGACGAAGGTAAGGGGGGATATGCATTTTACTTACTTGTACGGCAGGGTGAGACTTCATTGAAATAGGTAAAGTTCCTGGTTGTGAAGCATGTACCAATGGGATCCCAGCGTAAGTTCTTCCTGGGTGATATTGTATGGAAAACATATCGTGGAGCACAGGCCTGCAAAATACAACAAAACAAACATCAAATTGCAAATCAGAAGCTGGTCGAACTTTTAGTTCGGCATAAATATTATTTTATTATGTAGATAGGTTAGTTGGGAAAAGTCAATAAAAGTCCACAGCAATAAAATGTTTTGAGAATTCTATATAAAAGCCATAACCATAATAATAACCATCATCGTGATGATATCAAGCAAAGCCATTAAGCAGGAAACAAAGGATCCCCAACAATTCAAGGAAAGGCAAGTGAGCATCAGACAGTCTTACGAGCATCACATGAACAAGTAATCATCCATTAATACATACATAGATTCACACAATACAAATGTAGAGGGGCAAACTGAAAAATAACTCCACCCGACTGTCCGAATGTCTTGCCAGTCGCAAATATCAGAAATACCTGCCTACACTACACAGCAACAGTCGACGAAGGCAAACAACCTGCTTTTGCTGTTGGCTGCTCCCAACCAAATATGGCTTGCCAAAAGCATTGATCATTTCCTTCACTTGCCTTTCAGTCTGTCGTCATCTTTGCCGTTTGTTGGTGACTTGCCCGCCCCAGAGAGAAAAAAACAAATCCTTCTCAGGTTGAATCATAAAACAATTACCTTTACAAATTTATACGAAATCTTTTATCTTCAATTGTCTTGGCGGAATAGCAGGAGATGATGGCCAAACAACAATCTCAACTCAAGAAAGAAATAAAAAAAAAACAAACAGTAGACAATGGAATTTTTGCTTTAAAACTGTGGATTGAATTTCAAATGTCTGCTGGGTCCAAGTACCGTCCTGCCCAGTGAACTCACTCAACATAGTGATCTATTGCAAAGCTTTGCCATACTTCGTAACTTTGCAAAGTAAATAAGTTATTCGTCCTGTCCATTTTCTTAAAAAATGTTGTTTTAGTTTTATTTTAGATATTTTTTCGATTTGGAATGGATTACGAAATTTAGGGATTCCAAGTTAAGTGAATAATTCGATCATAAGCATGTCTAGAATTGGCCCAATAAAAGGACAACTATTGGTGTTAATTATTTTTTATACATTTCCCCCAAACTGAAAATTTCACTATTCGGGACTTTAAAATTTTGCACTATTTGTGGACATTTGTAATAAAAAATATTCATGTATTCGAATGAACGTTTAACCAAATGGAAATTAGACGTGCATTGCATTGAAGACTTGCAACTTTGTATATAAGCACTTGAAGACTTAATGGATAAGGAAATGAATTAACATAATTTGTTGTTGTTGGTTGTAATAAGTGTAAGTTTTTGAGTTATCGTGGCCGCTATTTGTAAAAACACTCTTTAGAGAAAACCGCATTTAATATTTGAGAAGCACATCGGCTATATCTTCAAGAGTTGCTGAGATTTTCACTTGATTTTTAAAAGAAAAATTCTTGAATTAATGTTCGAGTTAAATAGGAAAGGAAAATTCAATTGTTTTTATAATTGGTTAATTTTTTTGAAATTTTATTTTGTAATGTATCTCCACAAAAGATTTTGTTGCAATTTATTGCTTATGCATCGACCTTCCCAATCTATCTTGGCTTACTAAAACTTGAACTTGAAATTATTTTAATTCGTGTCAAATCCAAATCAGTTTAAAATAGGCTAGTTTAAAAATCTTGAAAATACTGTAATACATCCAAGGAAATTATCTCCCAAAGTGCTATATGGCATAAATATTTCGTTTGCCGAACCCAAAAATAAAAAATTACAAATAAATCGATTAAAATGTGTTTCAGTCCGAAACGGTTTGTTCATTATATCCCCGATATTTAAATAGTTGAAAATTTCTTTGTGCACCGAGTTGTGATTTCTCTGTGCTAAACCTCTATCGACAACATTGGACAACATAATTTATTCTAAAATAATATTGTAGAACACAAATACAGCTACAACAACAAACAAGTTTTGCCCCACCGAAAAACAGTTTGGAATCTGAAATGTCCAAAACAATACCAAAGACAATTTTCAGTGATTTTATTGCAATTCATTGAAGATTTGGCGATTTTTCGTTTTGCTTGCAGTGGTTTCTGGTGTCTTCCTCGCTGCACCTTAGATGGTCATACTGACCATTTTTGGTAAATAATCGTTGTATTTCGTTGTCGGTTGTTGGTACAAAACATCATCAACATAATAATAACAACAAAAACAACAACAAGGTAAAACTAAAACAACAAATCATATACAACAAAATTTGAAAACCAAAAATAAAACCACGAAGAGCAATGAAGTTTACAGCCAAACACTCACGAATATTGTAGTAGGTACAGTGTTCAACAAATTTGAGATGCGAAATATTTTCTTTTTTTTATATCGACAACTAAAATGAAACCTTTTCACACAGCATAAACTGTTTTATGATATTTGAAGTGTAGCCATAAACAAAATATATTTCGAGTTTTCTGATTCATTGCATTAACTGTTCGATAAATTTTATAGAAATCTCTGATATTTACATATCAAAAATGTTACTTCAATAAAGTGCTAAAATGTTGAATATTTTTTTTTAAGTTTAAAAAAACTGATATAGATTGATATTATAGGATTTTCTTTTGTAAGATAGAGCTAAAAAAAAAAAGATTTCACATCATTGAGTTCTAAAAATGAACATAATTCGTTGGTCTGAGGGAAGTTGTCATGGCCCTTTAAAATTATTTAAAGTATTGCTATTCTTTTGTAAAAAAAAATCCTCAATAATAATATAAGGAGCCATTTTTCATCAGAGTTTTCAAACTTACCAATCCAAAAAGACCTCTTGCGAAATGAAAATATGTATAATTTTCCTCTGCCCTGAAAATCCCAGTGATTTTATGAAAATCTCACACAAAGCGTTCATATCAATGGATTTTTACAGCAGTGTTTAAGATATCTTGCACTGACTATATGAAGATGCATAAGCCACTACTGTCACCATAGATACCCACTACATACATACATATATGTATGTATGTATACACATATGTATGTATAAATGCACATAGCTTGTGCCTTTGTTTTGTATGTTTAAATATTCGCATGATTATGTTTATCGCGGACATTTATGTTTTATTTTGTTGAATACAATACTAACCAGCGAACCAACCAGCCAGCCACGAAGCCAAGCCAATCCAAAACAACCAAACGCTGACCATATAAACGGTTCTTATCGTTGGCGTGTAGATATTCCTGTCATCGTTGTCAGTTTATTGGAATGAGAAATTGTGAATCGACAAACACCCGCACAAACATTAACTGGCCCAATGCATTCCCTGAATGCCAAGACAAAACAAAGCTGCTGCTGTTGTTGTTGTTGTTGTTGTTGATCATGATGTGGATGTGGATGATGACAATGGAAATCACATTGACTTGCCACAAACACTCAAATAAAAACGAGAAAAGGGTATCAGTCGTGCAACGAATATATCGATTCATTGTAGACTGCGAAATGTATTTCTTCAGAGGAACAATAGCACTGCCGCAAAGGAAGCATCACTGATAAACAGACTGAACAGAGATTCACAATTTTGAATGGGGTAATCGATGATTGTTTAATTTCCAGCCATCCAATGGAACTTCATTGAATTTGGAAATTGTGTGGTGCATCATTTGCACATTTGTGGATTGTTGCGGATGCACATGATTGTCGACATGCAGGCTCCTAAAACTGTCGTGTCACGCTGTCAATTCCATGACCGGGCTTTTTTGACGCTGCATGTCTGTCCACGTTTAAAAGTCGTCTGCACCGTATTAGGTGTGAATATGTTGCAAACAATATAGCGTGTGGAGCGATCGGTTTGGCGAGCAGACGGACAGAAGACAGCATCTGTTTGCAAATCACTGTATGGTGGATATGACTGGCGATGGCGATGCCATTATATTGCAGACAGGAGTGCCATGTCAAAAGTCAACACGATCAAATCAATGATCTCTTGTTACGTTCATCGTCTGATCGGCTTTATGGCTCTATAGGTTCACCACAAAAGATTTTTATCCAGTTTGTGCTAATTCACAACAATTGATTTGTTAATGGCATTTAACGGCAAAATGCCGACAACCAAATTTAATATTCATGAAATTTTTAGTTATTGTTTGCTGCTTGTGTATAGAGGAAATGGACTAAGTCACATATTAAAATAAAAGAATAAATAAACTTTACATGCACTTAAATAGTTGTGCATGATATAAGGATAACATTTTGTTTTGGAACTTTAAAGGAATACAAAACGAGATAAAAAGTTTGAGCAATAACATTTTTATTAAAAAAAAAAATTACTTGGTAACTCAAGATGAGCAAATTTGCTATTTAGCTTAAAAATATTATAAAGAAAATTTAACAGATATTAATAAGTAAAAATGTCATTCCATTTATTATTATGAAGGATAATTTAAATTTATCCGTGCAATTTAAATGCAATAAATGATAGTTGATAAAAAATTTAAATACAGATTTTAAATATTCTATTGTCAGCCTCGTCCTGGTGTGACATAGTCCATAAAAAATAAACCACAATATAATTTTGTTTGATTATTCTTTTTTGGTTTTTGAATTTACCACTCTGCTGACATCGAATTGACTGAATGTGTCATCGTCAATTTCATTTTAAGAACTGGTCATCAATGAAGTCTCAGTCATAAAAATACGAATCCATTAAACCACACACAACAATGAAATAATTGTTTGCACACGGCCATCAGGATTCAATTGGAGGTCATGTTCGCCACAATAAAGCGAAAACCAAAGGCAACAACCACATTAAACACAGAACTTTAAAAGGCCGCAAAGAAAATGCCTCCTTTAAATACAACCTGTGCACAGCGCGTAAAAAGAGGGGAGCGTTCGAGGGAAATAACTACGACCCTCGATTGTAAGATACTTATCGCACATTAATTGAGCTTTCATTAGTGCAAAATACCAACAAAGCAAACAATAGCTGAAGGAAAGCAAAATTAATCACAACATAGATTACCTGACACCGACCACCACTTAAACTAAATAACACAGTAATCCGCTAGTAAGGATGAGGAGGAGGAGCTGCGTTGGGATTAACAGTAAATGGCGAAATGACAAACAAACAACAACAAATCGTTAACAATTAAAAATCATTTAAACCCAAGACCCAGTGCCCAGCGCAGTTCACGGGACACACCTTAAACTAGCGAGCCATGGTGGGGCAATGTACCATATGACCGACCTGTATAGGTTAGCCCATAATTCCACTGGTGGATAACCTGATGATGACAATGATGATGTGATAGCAGTGCAAATGACCCAATAAGATTTCCTCCCCCACCACCGCATAACTGACACAACATTTACACATTCCGTGCCGTGTCATCGAACGAAGTTAAGTGAATGTTACAAATTCCTTTGCAGGCAGATAGATACTCGACCGGGATTACACATACGAGATAACTAACGGACATGTCGACTCTGCAGGTTTTTACGTTTTAATGAAAAGTGAAAACAATGTTTATGGCCATTTGCTCGTATATTTTGGTTTACCGCCCGAACACTTTGCTCTTTGGCTCCGTTCGTTCGGTCAGTCAAAGCAGCCAAAAAGGTAAATGCTGAAGACATGTTTATTTTGACCAACTCCCTCCCACTCTGATAGCATTGGGCGGATTCATCACGTTGTAAGCGAAAAAATGTGATACGAATGGTCGCCGACCGACCGACTGGCCACCCACTCACTTATTCACCCAGACATATTCTTTGGTTTACGGTTGCACATAAATGTGTCACAAATTATTGTTATTTCTGTTGTTGTTGTTGCTGTTGTTTAACGAAATAAAAGCCCACCAAGAAAATTTAGTTCATGGTTATCGAGACACAATAACAACAAAAGCAACAACAACACATTTATAAAGGCGAAAGTAATAAAGACATAATCTTTAAAGCTGATTATAAATTACAATCACCGCCATTAGCCACTTTCATTGCTCCAGATGAGGTAGGTCTGGTCATTAATTTATGAGAATTCCAATATGATTTTCATCATATCAACCGAATATAAATTAGGAGAATTTAGTATTTTTATGAGGAAGTTTAGAAATCGTTAATTTGTTGTAATCTAAAAAGTTTAAATTGTAAAGTCAATGTTGAACAAAAAATTAAATTTTAATAGAAAAGCAGGAGGGTGAGCTATAGTATGAGGCCCCGAACAGATATATAAATTATTGATGTGACACTGCAGTGTACAATTTATAAATTATCCAATGTAAGCCCGACTAACACTCGAACCTAGGTTCCCAGAGCAACACACATGTTGTCTGACCACTTAGCGTTCTGAACCATCAAGACACTTCCGAAGGTTGCTCAAAAGCATGGGTGGACAAATATCAATAGCTAAACAAAAATCTGCTCTGAAAAGCACTACTTTTGGAGTGAAGTCGAAAATTTATTGAATTACTTCGCAGATGCATTGAATTTGATTAGAATCCACAGCCCATGTTCTTTTTTATAAAAGTATTATGCACAAAGTGCATAATGTGAGCCCTCATTTTTCAACCCTGATTTGCATGTGTTCCTATTGTTTGTTTATTTTATCCTAGAATTCCCTATAAAATATAAAAATACTGCAGCGATACAACTGTCAGAAAAAAATATTGTAAATATAGAAAATGTTAAGAGTTTGCTCCTTAACAAATACATTTGTAAATATTCCTAATCATCCATGAAATGAATAAAATGACAATTTATTACCAGTTATTCGCGAACGGTAGAGCTTTTATGGTACACTTATTATAATATTATTGCTCCATCCATCATATATTTTGTTATTAAAGAAAAAGCACCGCCATGGACTTATTATTTATATGATTGTTATTTACACATACTATGTATGTTTGTAACTATGTAACTGTTCATTATGTATTTATTAATATATCGATTGATAGCAATACAACTACTTACCACAACTAAATCACTGTCACGACTTGTCGCTACTGTTGCACCCAGCCATTGATTCGATTTGCGATCAATAACATCGCCTTGTGTATTCCGATTATTGCCTGTGGGGAGGGAGAAGAGAGCAAAATAAAAATTACAATAAAATATTAGCATTGAATAGTGCAGAGAATACAGGCGTGTGTCTGTCTGTTCTCTATCTACTGACACAACTACAGCTACAACATTTTTTTAAACAATTAATCAAAAAATATAATCACAAAAGAATGGCTCAATTAAAAAGTAGTTAAACAAACAAATATTAAAATAAATGGACTCGGCGAGAGTTGTTGAGTTGATGATGCTGCGATGGGATGTGGAATGGGGAACTGCGCATACATACACATGTACATATATATTTATTTATGGCCATGTGTGTATTTACTATTGTTGATGGTCCACAGCCAGCATCAGCGACACACTAGCTCGCGTCTGTCATAATAATAATCGTAAATAACAAAAACAACAAGAAAGCAAAGCTAAAATTGAGTCGAGTGGAGAGAATTTGAATCCAAGATTTATGCATTTATTTGTTTGTGGGGCTGTCGCTCCGGTCCGGTCCGGTCTGATCTGTCTGTCTGGGTCGTTCGGTATGCTTCGGAAACATAAAAGATCAGCTAGGCATTTGAACGGAAGTGTTGTGCTTGTTGTTGTAGGCATTTGCGACAAAAAAAGCCCAAAAGAAATAAACCAAAAGCAGAGAAATCAAATCAAAGAATCTTGAATATCGAACACCGATGAGAGAATGTTAGAGAGTGGGTGGCAGTGTTGGGTGATTACATGGGTGGGGGTGGTGTATTTACATTAGTTTATATGGTGTTGTGCGTGACGTTGTTGCTGATGACTGTTTCTGTTCCTCTCTCGATAGATTGGTTGTTAAGAGTGGCATTGGTTGTGTTTACATCGATATTTCATGTTTTATTTTTTTTTGTATTTTTTGGAAGGTGACAATCCTAATGACAGAGCATTACCTTTAAATTTGATAAAGCATTTGTTGCCATCTTCATTGGGTTAGCATTGAATTGGGAGTGGGAGAAATCAGATAAATTGTCAAAAATAATATTCGAATCATTAATGACAGATATTAAATGCACGATGATGGTTATGGTCATGGTGATGATGATGACGATGCTCCTATGGTGATATGTTAATGTTTTGTGATCTACATATTTACGATGATAAAAATGTATTTGATCCACACCTTTCTTCATAGGGGAAAATATATGAGTATTTAGGTCTGGATGTTGTGAACTTTATTCGTTGTTTATCATTTTCACTTTCGTTTTTTTCTTCGAAATGTGGAAATGTTCATCCATCATATAACAGATAAATACAACGTATTCAGGAACGGAGAAAAACATGTTCACTTATATGGGCATGTGCAATGCCGAAAAACACAATCACTATGAATAAAGCTTCTTATATAATCGAAATTCGAAGACAAATCAATAGCTCAATAGGGACAAATTCAGGAAAATATGTTGCATAGTGTACGGCTGTAAAAAACAACAGACGAAACACTCGAAAATTTGACTGTAATTATTAAAATTAGTGCTCGATCAGATAAGTGTTGCCATGGATATTACGAGGGCTGTTGACAATGTTTTAGACCATTCAAGGTATGCATGATCATGGTATTTCCATATATCGGGTTATTTTTAAGAGTGACATTGTTTAGTTTTGTTTTCATAATTTTTATTTATTTATATTATTACTCCCTACAATAAAGTGTTAAATTAATTAAACGGAAGCTTTTGTCATGTCCCCTTTCCAAATTGAATCTGAACAGAATCATGTTGTGATATTCTTTGATTCATTCTCTTGTTTTGCAATTTAGCTCAGCACGGTGCCTTGGCCCTCTTTTTTAAGTTTTCGCTTCGCAGTGACAACGCGATGACGATGACGACAACGACTTACGAGATTTACATATGACTGTGGCCACTTCCTAAATTGAATGGCAAACGGCTTCCGCTTTTGTTAAATTGGAAACATAATGGCGAATTGAAATTCAATTGACGAAGTCACATATAGAAGTAAATGATGTTGATGTTGAATGTTGCTGGTGTAATTCAATGGACTGGCCGACCGAGTGACAGGCAGAGCTCTGTTGGAGCCCAATGTTGTGTCGTCTGCTAATTTTATTGGCGGTTCTTGATGTTAATCAGTCAAATCACGTTGTCGACTTAGCCAGTCAGGCAGCAAAGCGTCCTCCCGGCTCGCTGGTAGAAACGAAAGCAACAATGCGAAACAGAGTGCAAACAGTGTATTTACTTGTGTGTAGATGTACATAAAATGGATACAAATCCATTGATCCATCAATCAATCAGTGATGGACAGGAGGGAGTTTTCCTCCAGTTGCTCTCTATGAAGATGAGGAAGAGGCAGTGTTAAGTACCAGTTAACGTGGCGATTATTATTATTGTCATCAATATCGTCATCACCCATTGTCTTCTACAGAAATGGATGAAGCACAGTGGGCCGAAAGACTAACAGCTGAGGTATTATTTAAAATAACTTGGTCAGTATTGATTGTTGGTGAAATCTACAAAAGGTGACATCACAAATAGACAATGACGTCCATTAGCTTCCAAATTTTGCAATCAATCAAGTCTGCGATGTCATCATCATTATACGCCCGCTTTTCTCAATGGCATTGTAATGTGCTCGAACCAAAAAATAATATTACACCATTGCTTTATTAAATCCTGTAGTAGTGCTGTCAAAATGTTATGGTATTTTGCCATGCGGTTTGATCTCATCGATACAAATAGGTTCTATTGGAGTTAGAAAAAATAAAACTTGTCAACATTTTCCCAAGTTCTTTCTACGATTAGTTATTGATAAATACTTGTATACATTTCCATTTAACATCCCTTTAATCACGGTCCAGTGTTAAGACCTCTTTCATTCACTTGTAAACACTGGCAATTTTACATTAATTATCACATTCGTCTTTCGGCTCGTGGTCATTGGTGTTGGATTTGTGGTCTGTGTAAGCCTGTGTGTGTATTTTACGCTTCTGTTGCCTAAAGTCATAACTGAAAAGTGTTAATGTTCGACACGATCCCAAGATCTTTGTTCGCATGATCTATGCTATCAAGCAGTAGCGTAACAAACAAAATCCGATGTATACTTCTTGTTAACATCCCCACCGAACAGTGTTAAATGCAACGTCTCTGTGGTTTAAAATTATGTGAGTGAATGCGTACATTGGCTATGTTATGTTTGTTTGTTTATCCTTGAGGCCATTGGTGCATTCACTGTTATACGATAATCATAATCATGAATTAGCTTATTTATAGCACTTCATGGACAAGATGCCTCCCCATTTATGGTGAAGATTTACTGCCAAGTTTTGCCTGAAGTGCCCAGCCACCACCACCGCCGCCATAATCAATGATCGGTTAGAACACTAATGACCATGCACTTGGTGATTATTTATCCTTTGGGTGATCGCTGTTCTTGTTGGTTGTTGGTGTGCGGCAAGGGAAGAACAATGTGCTGCGGAATGTTTCCACCAGTCTATGGAGCCATCACCATCATCATTAGTTATTATCTTCCTGTCGACGAGCGAATAGACGACCACATAGGCATTATTGCGTTCTTCACGGCTGCAGACAAGATGTTCTGCATAAATTTACATTTTACGCACACAAATTGTTATGGTATTTTATAGCTTGCCACGGGCATGTGGGTATTTCCATATGCATATGGGTAATGAAAGGATTCAAATTAAAGAAGTAATACTGGCTGGTAGCAGGTGGAAATAATTGAGGGGCATAACAAAATGAGTGTCAATATTGCTAAAATTCCGAATCTAAACCACTAGATTTGGTCATGTCTTTTTCTATCAACAACTCAAAATCTGCTTTCTGATAACTTTGGACTTTTTTACAAAAGTTTTATTTCGGCCAATATTTTTAGAAAATCCATATAATCCGATTGTGAATATTTGTTTAATGTGTATGCCATAGTTTCCAGCAATAGTGTTGGGCACTGGTGAAATTTGTATATAAGATGTGTGGTTTATTTGCAGAAAGTTCCTCAAAAATTGATCTAAATTTTTGTATAGTCCACATCAATTTCTAATATCCCCATATTCACAAACTTCTTTATGCAATTCATGCCCAGTGCTCTGCAATGCAGATCTCCATGAGTATTTTAATGTTGTTGTTCTTATTTGCAAATTGTTGATATAACTGAGGTATGCAGTTTGCGGCTATAACCCTCTTCTGGCAAATGTCGGCACTCGGCACTGCATTGGAAAACTCCAATGAGGCATCGTCACACGGTCTGCAACATGTGATGTGTGGTTTTTCGGTTAACTATTGTCGGTCTTCGTAGGCTGGGCGCACGCGCTGGCTTTCATCATCAATCGCATTAGCCACAAAAAAGCATATAATTTTATTTGCACATCCGTAAGCATTTGCCGTCCGCTATTCACCATTCATTTTCCATGCCACCGCAAGCCTGGATGTGGAGTACTTTTTGCCGCAATTTGTTTTTATTGCAACACATGATGATGCTCCAGCAATTGTTGCATGGGTTTTTTCATCTTAAGTGGGGGTAAGTAAATTGCCAACATAGTTTTCGCTGGCTGGCTGACTGACTGACTGGCAAATAAGTTGCGTATCAACAACAACATAAACACAAGAATCATGCTAAAGACCATGTTCCAGCACATAGACCGCTACAAAATAGCAGAGCATACATAGCAACTTGTTGTTGTTGTTTCATTCTTATGTAAGAGAAGTTGTTTGTTTTTGTCTGGCATGTGCTTTTTTCCCTTTCGCTGGTTCGCAGGCTGGCTGGCTGGATCGGTGGGTCGGTCATCTCAAAAACAAACAAATGCGGAAATGTGGCAAGCATTTGTATGTTTATGGCCAGTTTTATTACAAACAGATTTCTTAACCGTATTGTAGAAGTTTATTTCATGTAGTTGCCCGGCAAACAACATCTTTTACTTTGCAGACATGTTTCTTGACAGGCATGGAAGGCATAGTGGCTCCGAATTTATTTCAGACGGTTTTTCTTTATCTTTTATTTTAATTTAAATTGTCCCACATTTAGATTTATGTATTTCAGCAGAAAGTAATAGCAACTAGCAGTGACAAAAATAATTCAAAATGATGATATGCTAAAACTTGAATAAATACCGGAAGACTTGTCCGAAGTTATTTAAGGTTATTTCTTTAATGAGAGTTATGTTTGTTATGGTACTACTCATCAAACTTCCGGTTGGACCAATCAAATTTCTGGTCGTAGTCGTTTCCCCCACCTATTATGTATTTTCTAATTGGTAATATAAAATTGTTCCAACATGATCGAAACCACTGTGTAACCAACCACATCCCACTGATGGGGGGCAATATTTTCTAAATTTGTTTAGAATAGATTCACCGTTTGCCAATTGTGGTTGGCAAAGGTGGACCAGTTTTGCCCTAAATGAAAAACTACCCGCCAAATAGAGAATAAAATGTGTATTTCAGCATAGTTTCAAATCATAAAGATAGATATGAGCAAATAGTACAGCGAGATACCTGTGTAGCCTATATTCGTTGTGTATGATGTATGGGGAATATGCATTTATGCATACATTAACCAATGGGGAGCAAAACTGGCGAGGAGAGGGGGAATGTTAACACATTGGATGCGTAGGTTTCACCTTTGTACAAATTGTGGCATTTTTCTGAACATGGCATGTGTGTGTGTGTGTGTGTTTCTAACGTTGATCTTGTTGCTATTTCTTTGATATCATAAATGTGTAGGTTGCATGTTGGAAGGTGAGGAAATATGAAATATCCAAAAATACCCTAGAGAATTTGGCGTTTTGTTTGTGTTGTTGTTTATTCAACACGTATAAATGATAGTCATCAATCTGACAAACAAACTGAATGGATTTGCTTACAAATCTACAAAAGGTGCAACTGACAAACCAAATGAAAGCTCCAATGTAACAAATCTATTGTAAATCTTTCAAAGATCACTGGGATAGGAGAAAATACCTCCCAAAAATTATTTGTATTAATGACATGTTTGCCCAGGGGATAATTAAAAATAATGGCGTGTGAAATGAATGACAATTGAGTTTTTTGTCTGTTGGCAGGGTATTTGCTTGTCACGAAGATGAAAATGTTTGATCATGCCAGGCGCATGTTCACATCCATGTATCAAATATTTTGATAGCCCACATATTATTGTAAAACACACAAATCGACAAAATATTGTTAAACGCCCTATTTTGAATCCATTTATTATTATTATTTTCAAATTATATTTATGCTGGTATTTGTTGTTCAATATTAAAGCTAAAATTTGATTATTTTACTTACTTGAAGAATCAAATCTCACCAATGAGCACTGATCATCCTCCATACCGCAATTGAATACCGCACCTGCTTCCACCACGCCTTCCTGATAAGATGAGGTATCAAATTTGGGTGCACCGACCACCAGCCTGCAATAAAAATACGAAATATATTAAATGAAAATAAATTAAAATAAAGATAACCCATTTCATAAAAATTATTTTTTTTTAATTTTATTTGGGTTAAGTTGGTTTTTAATGACTCAGATTGATGACAACGATGATTGGTTGACTAGTGTCGGGGACAACGACTTTGTAGAACACCAGACTTGCAATGAAGGAAATTTGAGCTTACGATATACGTTTGTTGAAGTTCATGGCACCAGTGGTGTTGTTGTTATTGTCATATCAACAATTCTCCAAATAGTTTTTTATTAAAAAACTGATGATGTGGGAAAATAAAATTAAATGCACTTTGTAATTATGATTCAATATATTTCCCCGTTTCAATGTCAATAAAGTGCTAAGAACCCGGTTGCTAAGTGTATAAATAATAATGTAAGAATGCGATATTCAATCTGAAATGTTCAAATGCTAGATTTTTTTCGACCTACCACACTAGCTGAAATGTTTACCATGGGTTTAGCCTTTCATTCTGTTTTTTAAAATCCTACATATTATTTATCCCTTTCCCAAAAACATTTTTAAAAGTCGAAACTATAATAAAATTCTAAAAATATTAAACTCAAATAATTAAAAAACTAATAATTAGAATATTTTCTTACAACAAACAAATATTGCAGGCGTCAATATTTCCAACTGCTGAATATTGCCTCATTGCCCTATTACATGAAATGAATTTCAAGTGGATTTCCGCCGACAATGTAAGGCGAGAACATAAAAAAGTGAGAGATTGTTGTTTACACTAGAAAATAATTAATTCGAGACTAATTAAATGCTGTCGACATTTCAAAATCTGTGGGAGGGGTACTTCCACACACACGCACACACCCATCGCCATAGCCATATGTGGCCCCCAGTCACAGCGAGATACAAAATGACCATTTGTTTCAATTTACAGGTTTATTCTAAAGCTCTTTACTCTTCTCGGTACAGGTGTGTATCTGTGTGTGTGTGTGTGTGTGTGTGGAAGGGAGAATAACTACTGGACTGCAATGCAAATGAAATTCGACTTTGTAAAAACAGAACAAAAGCCAAAGAAAACATTACAAAATATAGAGCAGCGCATATGGAAATTGTGCAATCAATTCAATGCAGTCGACTGAGAGAAACTAAAACTACATACATACACACATACATAGATAGTTATAATGAAATTATGTGCCTGCCAAACAAAAACAAATGCAACAATAAAACTAATTATTTACAAAATAAAAAAAAACAAAGCGCCGGCAATCTTTTGTTGGCACGTGCTATAAATAATTGTATTCGATTTCAACAACAATAACAACAAGAGAATATTATGTAATTTCCTCAAACAAGCACAAATATATTTATAATTGGCAATGTCCCCTCTCTGTGTAGAATTCAATGACAGATGTTGTGTAGATGGCGCGAATAAAATATACGATGTGTCAATAGGTTCCATAATTTCATATGGATCGATGAAGAAATGTGCCATGTAAATCATAGATCATAAAATATAAGAATGGGTCTATGTTGTTTTCCGTTGCCTACAACAACAACAAATAGATAGCAAAATGTTATATATTCCCCCTCTAAATGTTGCCTACATTCCTTTGCATTCCAAATAATTTAAAATAAATACTAAATTATTTGAAAACCAATTGGGTGTAGCAGGATAGATAGTAATTTTTTATAGTAGACGAATATCCTATTAGGCCGTTCAATTAATTAAATGATCATTATTTCTTTAGGGTGTATTCGGTGAATTCCAAGAACTAATTGCATTTTTTTTTTTGTAATTAATGCATTTACTGACCAAATGATGCAGTAATGAATGAGTAATGATCAATAGGTAAGATAATGAATGATCACCTCCGCCAACACTAATTTCTCATTCTTTATTTGCTAAATAAATAAACAATTGGATACGAAAATAGCACACGTTTTTCTAACGTCAGCTTCTGACTCATCGATGAAAACAAATTTCGTAGATATTCTCTAGAGAATTGTTTATTTTCTTTTATTCTATGTATTTGTTGTTATTTTTTTTCTTTTTATTTGTTCTTGAAATCGACGTTGTTGGCAGCCTACAAATAAATTAGGAAATATTGGATTGAGTTGTGGCATAAATTCAAAAACAAAAAAAAATCATAATCATAATCATAATCACCCATGGTACAAACTCATGGCATTGCGTATCGTTTCGTTCCAATTTTTTATAAAAGAATAATGTTTCAAACAACAGATTTTTATAGCGGCTATTTGGATCAGTGAATTTTATTCAAATTGGCGTTCCTATGGTCGGCGAACATGTGTTGTTTGTATTCACGGACGTGTGCAATGGAATTGTCATGGTCAATTTATGTTTTTGCACATGTTTTTATTTCGATACTGAAATTTCACTGCAAATATTGATTTTCCACAAAAAAAATTAAATAATATTTATTAAAAAAATAGGAACAAAACAACGATACACATCATAAATCCAATTCGCCAAAATTAATTAATGATGTTGTTGAAAATAACAGTATTTTGCAAAATTTGAATTTTGTTACATAAAAGACAAATAAATTTAATTTCAATAGAATTGAAATTGGCGCCAGCTATTATCAGATTCTATTGCCATTCCTAAACTTGCTACATTATATTGTGATTAAGTAATCGACTTGTTTTGTATAACCAGTTTCGTTTCGATTCCAGTTGGATATTGAAATTCTATTGAATTCAATAACATCACAATTTGACAATATTTTATGACAAATTTCTGGCGAATGTTTAGTTCATAGAACTAAAATGAAGACAATGGGTATGGGCGGTCGGTCGGAATGACAGATATTGGATAAACAAATAATAAATACACGGAGAAAAATAATAATTATATAAATTTAAAACAAATATCATTAAAAAATTATTATTAATTAATGAAAATCAAGGTTTTGGTTTAAATACTTTTATTTAATTAATAAATAATAATAAATAAATTTAATTAATAAATAATAATTAATGACGTACATCGATTTATTTCTTGATATTTATTTTTCACAGTGTAAAATTAAAAATGTTTGTTCGGTTAATTGTAAAAAATGAATTAATTTTTATACAATTGTTGTATCTATGACTATATGTATGACGACATACTGTATTTAGTAATCGGCTAATTGTTATTGCTCATTTATGAGATAATATTTTTAAAATAATTTCCATTTCAGAATAATACAATATCGAATACAACAACAATATTTTAATCGATTGTATATTTATTTATTTTACCATTGTTATTATAATTTGTTCGAATTGGCTGATAAATATTGCTTTTGATTAGTCAACATAGAGTAAAGGAAACAGAAAATAAGAAAACACATACAATAAAATAAGTATTTTATTAAATTTACGATTTCTTGAAAATCTTAAAGAAGTATTCAAGTATGAGTTTTTTAATAATATTTTCTAAGGGTTATTATATGAAATATATCATTTGAGCTCAATTTTTTTTGATATTTAAAAGTTTACTGGTTTGGTTTTTTGTTTTTTGCAAACTAAGATCGTCATGATGTATCGATGTATGACTTTACATTAATGAAATGATTTATATATATTTGACCCTAAATGATTTTTTAGCAGATGTGCCTCTTTGAAAGTATTTTTTTGATCACTTTTTATTTTGCCCTATAGCATTTATTTTTGTTATTAATTCCGTGAACCGCCACCCTCTTTTTTTCTCTCGGTTAGAGGGTGTATTGCTCTTAACTGCACAAGGTCTTCCTAGTATTATTTTCTCCCCCACCCTCAATTCATATGAAGTGCTTAATAAGTCGAAATGTTATATTTAATCGGATTTAAAATATATTTCTTCTAATAATATCCACAGTTCGGTCTTGAACATATGATGGCTATCAATTTTAATTAATCTTTACTCTCTCTTTATGAGACATCATTCTGTCGCTGTCAATATTTCGTTTGGATTTGCTGTGACATTTATGGATATTTAATGAAATCCTAAGGGGATGTCAGAAATTGAAGCCCAAATCTTGTGGTGTTTGGGCTTAATACTCGCTTTTTTAATTCAACATATCTAATAAACACAATTGATATTAAATGTCATCGAAATATTAATGAAACTATGTATGAGCGAAGTGTTTCAGCAGGGCAATGAAACTCGAAATTTTTAATACAACTGCGACTTCAAAGGCAGCAAAACTTCCGCAATTATTTTCGACAACAATGGCTGTCATCCACAAAATCCATACTCCATCCACCCATTAATACAAATTCTATTCCAAAAAAAAAAACATACAGGAAGAAAATTCAGTCTAGAAGTCTTAGGGAATGTCATCATGGCATGAAGGCGTAGCAATTTTAAATTGAAATTTGAATACAAATATGTAGGGAAAAAATAGATGCCATTCTTTATAAAATACAACACATGGCTCATAGTCCCATGGCCTAAGGGATACAGGCGACATCCACCACAAAGGCATTTGCGTTTAAGATGCGCCACATCACACTCCGACTGCAATTGGTAATGGTAATGCACATGTTAATGTTTTCTTCCTTTATTTCAGATGATTGGTTGCTGTTGTTGCTGCTTTTATTTTTAGAATTGAGTTGTAAACATTTCAGACAAAAACTGCAGCAACAACAACAACAAGAGGGAACTCTAAAGGAACTTAGACAAGAAAAGAGGAAAATGAAAACAAAAGGAAAATATCAATTTCCTATCTCTTGTGGTTGAGCTCCTTGATTATTGTGCCTGTACTGCTACGACATTATATGGGGGAACATTCGCCTGCAAGAGGTGTGTCCGCATGTGCAACACAATAGACCTACAATTACATGTTTTGAACGAAGCCTAACCTTTGTTAAGTACGCCTAGAAAATAAAAGTCATTACTTATTCTCTATTGTCTCTCAAAAGAGAAATGTTAAAGAGATGTACAAATATTACTCTCGATGCACCGTGGCTCAGAGAACGATCATTTAAGAGCTCTGTATTTATTGATTTAT